AGGTTAGTGAGCTTAGGTCCATGTCAGACTGCGAATTCCGTGGATTCGCTGGAGAATCACGGGGTGCAGGCGTTGCACCACCGGTTCGAACGGTGTACAAGCTGAACAGCATTTAGAAGTGGTGGAAGTCTCTCGTTCGCACGTTGACTTTTGGCATTTTAACAGATTCATGAAGGCGTAAGAGCCCGGGAAAGTGGCTGGAATTAACGTGCGAGCGATCCCGCCACTTTCAAACTAGCGGACCGCTGGTGCACGCTCGTTCCCCGCAATTCGCGAATACACGAACATGTCTGATACCGGCCTCGTATCGTCGCAGTATGGGCTCGTGATGAATTCGCGCCGCGCTAGGAGCAAAGTTGTTCCCGCGTTACAGTCGTTCAGCATCTCCTCCTGCCTGTTGTCGCCATCAGTGTCCACTTTTCCCACAAAAAAAACCATTTTCGCCTTTGACTCCACGTGTGCAAATGAGCCATGCAACTAGCTTCAAGCCGAGCACTAGTTCAAGCTTCACTAACTATCATTGCGCTCTAGCACCGACAATTTGTGGACTTACAATCAGACTTAAGTTTCAAGCTTTGGTTCTAACCTACATAACGTAAATCATCGTTCGCTTTACTTCTTAGGTTGAGCGACCTGTTTCTCACATAATATAACGCTTACCTAGTATTGAACAAAAATTCACAGAAGTCATCAAGAATACTGAACCTGTCCTTGCATATCTTTTGCTTCGTCAAAACATTGAAGGCATCACAAAAACTTCCCCTCTACATTTTTTCTGAATCTCAGGCAGTTAGAGAGTTAAAAGCCTAATCGTAAGAGTCATACAATATCAAAGTTTGAAGCTTTTCCATCGAATAAAAAAATGAACGAAAAACCTTTTTGACGAATATTTGGATGGGATTTAGTGCAGGAGATCATTGTGCGACGAACTGCAGAGGCCCGGCCGAATCTTTAGGAAAGGGTGTGTGTCTCAGTGCCAGGCGCAAGCGACGCAATGAGTTAGTTACGGTAGTCAACGTCGAATAGCGTTCATTTTGCGGCATTTGCAAGTTCGGAATTTCGACGATTGCCTCTTTTTGTTTCGGGTTTCAAGGAATTGCCAAAGACAAGCCCCGGGATTAGCCCGACTAGTAGGAAGGATACCGCGAGGGAAATTGTAGGTCCATACCTACAGAGATCATGCCAGCTTCGTCGCACTAATTGCGCGATTAGGCGCAACCTTACGGCCTGCAACCACCGGCCCCGTTGCAACGCTTCCCACCCGCCACGGAACGTGGAGATTAGTGCGCTCTTCTGAACGGCTAGCTCTCTTGTCTCCGATCCCTTTTTCTCGCCTCCAACCTTGCTGGAAGTTGGGGCCTCAATTTTAATTTCCTCACGGCTCCTCCCCCTTTCCTTTCCACGTTCAGCTCATCCATCGCTATGATGCGCTCCTATGCACCAGTTTCATCCTAGTGCTTGCCTTGAAGTATGCAGATGAACCTTATCGTTTGAGACAAAAAAGAGACATCAGGAAAACGGAGCGTTTGGATATTTCATGTAGTGCTTCACTACTGAACAGTCTTCAGACCAGGTTTGAATGGATACAGTAGCGCACATAATAAATTTTGAGCACACGACCTCACTTGCTGCGCTCGTCGCGCAGTAGGCCTCCTGCACTAGACCCGTTGGCTTCTACAAAATCTGCGTTTCAGTCTGCATATATTTCACTTTTCTGCCTTCTGTGTTAGTTCAATGTCACCCTTCTCTCACATTCGGAACATTCAGGACTCGAGAACGAACAACCTTGTGCAGGAAACGTCGTTCGTACAACCCACACCGCAAGTGCCGTTCGTACAACCGCGACCACAAACTCCTTCTGTACAGCAGCAACCACAAGCACCATTTGATCAACGACAACTGCAGACTTCATTCAACCAACGGCAACCGCAAACCTCCTTCGAACAGCCGCAAACACAAACTGTGTTCAGTCAGCGACAACCGCAAACGCCTTTCACACCTGAGCCAACTGCGTTCACCCAGGCACGTTCCGATTGGAAAGCAATTAAAAAGAACAAAACTTGTACGCATCTTGAAATTGTGGTGAATTTCCACGTGGGGAGTTCACAATGTTTAGGTAGCCTCTTACCACAAGACCCCTGCTTGATGAATGGTTGGCTTGGGTTATGGATTACGACGCGGGACTATTGCCTTGGGCGTGTTTCAAGATTTCAGCCCCCTAGACGTCAGTCTTTTTCTGAGCTATCTACCTGCCCTAATTGAGCCACAGAACCGCCTCATTAAGGCTTATAGCCACCGTTCAGTGACCCTTGAGCAGGAACACTCCTAGCGTCGGCACTTTCCTGAAAAATGGTGCTCACCTTCCAGGAGTGCATTGGTTGCAACCCCAACCATCATCAAATGCGGAAGGGTTCCTATGCACACCAACATGCCTGTTTAGCTATGTTAGATTCTGAGACCAGTTGTGAGGAGGGCGGGGGAAAGGATTGGGGTGAAACGGTCAGAAAAAAAATAAGAAAATCCGCACATGTTACGCTTCTTTGTTTAAATTTTCGCCCAGGTCGTCAAAAACATGTCAAAACAGCAACCTCTCCCTTAACCACGATCCCTCCTGCTTCCACAATTATTTCCACAAGCTCCGTTCGCAGTTCTTCAAGTGATGGTTACCCTAGGTCGACCCCAAATTCGATCTCTCCCTCCTTAAGACGCAAATACGACCCCATGCCTGGTTTTTGAACCAAAGTACGGTTGACCCTGCCTTGAGCACTTCACTCATGTGATCGTTATTAGATCAGCTAAGGTCCAAACGCAAGTAAAAGCCAGCTGAAACACAAATATATTGGTCATTTACGAGGTTTTCCCGAACCTTGATACCAAGAAGATTTCAGGCGGCCGAACCGTCGACGACTCGCATGAAAACAATCATACCTCTCACAGGTATGGAAATCATACATCGACGTGGGTTCATGCCCCTTCAGTGTGGAGCACGTACTCACGCCCAGATGCTTGGTTTTTACTTACACTCTTTTATTTTCTCAGCACCATCCACTCCTAATTTTTTTACGCATGCACAATGGGTAGTC